CTTAGGGAGACCTGAGCACCTGCGGTTAATTCTTTGCGCTTGCGGCCACTATTGTAGCGGATTGCAGCGCCGCTAACTTTCTGCGTCTGGTTTCAGGCAGGCGCTTCTCTGGCTTGTCGGCCTTAAGACACCCTGCCACCTCCCGGGTGGTGCTCTCTTATTTCATTTGCGCTGCGTGGCCTCCGAACAGCGTCCGACGGCTCTGGGGTTTAGCGGGGCCTCGATGGTCTCCTCCCCTTATCCCGTGTCACCGTTTTCGCGAGGTGGGTCTGGCTTTATGGGTGTTTGGGGGGGCGGACGTCTTTCAGTAGTTTACTTAGTACCCAGGCCGCGTAGTGTACGTGTTTGTAGATAGCGAGCGGGCTGCCATCGAGCACCGCTATATAAATTGTTATGAGAGGAGGATGACTACTATGATGAAGAAGAGACCCCAGCTAAGAAGAAGAAGGTGATGGTCATCTATGAGGATGATGATGAGGAGGACAATGAGAATGACCTTGGAGGATATCGTAAGTTCAATTTGTAATATTTCTTGTTATTCCTTTTTATTTGTTCTATTATTAGAGGAGCCAAGTTCCCAGAAGATCAAGCCCAAGACTGCTGCCACCTCTGCTGGTCTGAGGTCCAAAGTCTCTGCTAAACCTGTCTCCAAAGCTCCAAACCCTGAGTAAGTAGCATTTATATTTTAATTTCAACTTATATCTAATAGACTTTAGGTCTTATGGTCAGGTCTTGAAAGCATCTAGGTATGGTTTCTCCATTCTCTAATGATACTTTTATTGACCAGATTGTAGATGTACCTCTGAAGACAAGAACATTGAGGTCGAAGCTGCTGAGGATCCAGCTAAGCTCCCACCGTAAGTGCTTTCTTTATATTCTTTATCAAACTAATCATTCCTTTATAGTGTTGAGGCCATTCTTGAGTGTTCTGGAGCATCTACAGCTCCTTCTCGTCGCCCCAAGCCTAGGATGATAAGTCGTACAAATGATGATTCATCTGATTCTGGGATGGATGTTGATCATCAGGAGGGGGTTCAGGAAAAGCGGAAGAAGAAAGCTAAAGCCCCAGCTAAGCCAGTGGACAAAGGTATAGTCACAGTGCTCTCAATGTCTCATTATAATATATTAATAGTTTACTTCATACATAGGAAAGGGACTAGCTGTGCCCAAGTCCAAGTCCAAGTTCAAGCCTAGGCCTGAGCCTATCATTTCTCAAGCAGTTGGTAAGCTTATTTATTGATCTTTATTTTTTCTGTTTCAAACCTGTTCTTTTTCAGCCAATATTCTGCCAATGGGGTCTTCACGTGCAGTTGGAGGCTTTAGCCGAGGAAATGCACTGGGTAATGCCCCCAATCTTGTGTAGATAGCGAGCGGGCTGCCATCGAGCACCACTATATAAATTGTGGATCAAAAAAAAAAAAAAAAAAATGCCCCCAATCTTGCAGATATGGGTGGTTCATCTGGCCTGGCTCAAACTGATGTACTCGCTGTCACTGCACCCCCTCGTCCTGGCATCATCTATGTCTACCACCAGCGGGACACTCCCCAGCCCCAGAGTATCAAGGACATCTCTCCCTCTTGGTTCATCAAGGTCAATTTAAACCTGACACTAGGCAAGATCCTGGAGAAGGTTCGAGACCGTGATGAACACATTCAAAGTAATATTTATTTGTTCTATTCTTGTCATTCTTAATCTAACTACTATACTTAACAGATGATCGTGTGTTTATCTGGGATGATAAATATGGTTGGGAGGCTTATGGCCCATTCAAGCAGGCTATTATCAGCACTGACATCATTGAACCGAGGGAGCTAGAGGAGGGTGGACTTGGGATTAGTCTGCTAGCGGTAACGTGTCTATATTAGCTTTAAGAATTATAACTGATCATTCTTCAGGCTCTTGACATGTCAATCAACCATCTTGATCTTCTTGGTCGAGGCAGTACATCACGTAGCCCCTCGGTTTCAAGCTCGATTGCTGGTAATGTCTCTCGTCCTTCTAGCCCTCTGGCATCTAGTTTCTCTGTCTATGAGGAGGAGCTCATCAACAAGTTGGAGGTTGATCGGGCTCTCCTTCGGAGTGAAAAGAAGGGTTCTCCAAGTGACTTTGACTTGCGCAAAGCATGGAGAATTTTCAACTTTGTCGAGTCATCAGCATTGAGAGTCAAGGAGTTGGAACTCTCTAAGAGACCCACCCAGAAGGATCTTCAGGATCTTTGTGTTCAAAAGACGCAGTACAACTCTTATCAGAAGGTTTTCAGAACGGTCGCAAAGTCCTTTGAGGAGATGAAGGATTGGTTGGATGAGGAAGGTGCAGATGCAGAAGAGAATGAGCGAGTCTGGGGTGAGGATCGGGTCAAGTATTCTTTGACAGACTTTTTTTTTTTTTTTTTTTTTTTTTGATCAACAATTTATATAGCGGTGCTCGATGGCAGCCTGCTCGCTATCTACAAACACGTACGCTACACAGCCTGGTTACTAAGTTAACCACTAAAGGATGACCGCCCCCCCAACCAAGACCCTTTGGGCTCAAATGCCGAAACTCCCCAGAGGGCAACCCACCTCGCAAAAACGGTGCATCGGGATAAGGGGAGGAAACCATCGAGGTTCCGCTATGCCCCAAAGTCGTCAATCGCTGTTTGGAGGCCATGCAGCGCAGATGAGATAAGAAAAGCACCACCCGGGAGGTGGCAGGGTGTCTTGAGGCTGACAAGCCAAAGATGCGCCTGCCCGAAACCAGACGCAGAAAGTTAGCAGCGCTGCAACACGCTATAATAGCGGCTGCAAGCGCGAAAGAGTGAAATGGGCGCAGGTCTCCAAACCCTAAGGTCCGAGGGTGTCAATTCACCGATAAATCCTCCAACAGGAGGAATAACCCTGCCCACAGCGGTTATCCAACACCTGAAGGGTCCCGGTTGAAGCCAAACGCTGTGGGGTTGTACTTCATAAAAGATGCAATATCCCCAAGAAAGTGGGGGTAATGCACGGAGTAGCGATTGTGACAGTGACAGAGGACATGCTGGCGAGACTGCAAAGCAGCCCCGCAAGTGCAACCATGAGGCTCGTTGATCTTGAAGCAACGGTAATACGCTCCAATGGGCACGTGGCCAGTTATACACCAGCAAACGCGAGCGAACTCAGTGATACTGTGTCCGAAAGATGAAAGCCAAGGTCCCCCATTGAGGTACGATGGCTGTAGTGGCCACCTGTCAGGCTGTTGAAGCTCTAAGAATTCAGAGCCTCAGTAGGTTGGATCCTGGAAAGTGGAACTCCACGAATCCAGGACTGAGTGCGCGGCTCAGGAGCGTAGCGTGTCTATAGAGTTGTCCGTCTTGCGACATCCAACCCTGACTTTGAGTTCAGTGACGTACTTGTGTGCCTCACCATGGATATCCCACCGCAAAGCAGAGGGAACGTAGATAAAGGTGATGTGGCGGAGGTCATCTGCCTCAAACCACTCTCGAAGAGTGCGACAAACTGACAGGCTGAAAGCCTGACCAGAGTGCATGGAAGGGTCGACCGCTCTATGGGCCGAGCCCATAGAGTCAGTAAAGACCATAATATGTTGGCAGTTTGCCTGCTTGACAGCAAGGCGCACTGCACATGAGATGGCATTGAGTTCCGCATCTGGGGCAGTAACTCTGCCAGAGACATAGCGAGTCCTCTTGAGCTCATGATGTCCCTTGTAGATGATGGCTGCCGAAGCCACCTGATACTGGTTGGACTGAGGGACAGAGTCATCAGTTGCAGCCAGTACTGTTGAAGGGTCGGCCCTCGCTTTTGCGATGAGCTCGTCTAGATATGGTCACCTATCCTGGGCAGGATCGCGCTTGTCAAAGTGGAGACGGTCTGCATAGCAGTCCAGTAACCGATCACCTGGGTGAGCTTTGGGCGCAAAGGGCTCGAAGCTCTCAGTTAAGGTGTGGACACACTCGTCCACCTCCATGACGGTGCTCTTGACTTTCCCTCGCATGGCTGGGGTCATCAAGGTGGCTGAGCGAGCATGTGGTGTGGCTCGCTTAAGGAGTCCCTCGCCCATCATAGAGCGAAGGGGGTGGGTGTCCGAGAGGGTGGCGACACGGTACACTGCACGCGTGTTGCCAGCTTCTTCAGCATAAGGTGGACAGGGATGAGACCTGCCAAGGCCTCAAGACCGCCTGTAGGGGAGGTGCAGAAAGCACCCGTGATCCATAGAGCAGCTTTCCGCTGCATCTGTTTTAGCTGGTTCATCGCGCCCTTATTACAGGCGCCATTGTAGTACCAGAGACGATAACCATATGTGGCAATGGGAACCACACATGATCTGTAGAGGAGGTGGCGCTGTTTAGGCGAGAGACCTCTAGTAGAGTTTCCGAGCATGCGCATGGCCTGCACAGTGGTGAATGCCTTGGTGGCATAGTAGCGGACGTGCTCATGAAAGGTGAGCCTGCGGTCAAAGTAGAAGCCCAAGTACCTCCAATAGGTCTTGGGCTTTGGGGTCAGATAGTGCTGCGGCATTAAGGCAAACTTCTTTGGGGACATCGCGAGAGCAACTGCAGCCCTCTGGCAATGCCGAAGGCAGAGGGCTGCTTACTCTTTTGCTGTTCCGGACTTAGTGTCCTTCGCAGCTGGAGTGGCAGGTGTGGAAGCAGTGTAAGGAGGAGCGGCTGTAGTAGACGAGGCATGACCTTTGGCAGAGTTACACTTACATTCATGGTGAGGCACACAAGTACGTCACTGAACTTAAAGTCAGGGTTGGACGTTGGAAGATGGACAACTCTATAGACACGCTTCGCTCTTGAGCTGCGCACTCAGTCCTGGATTCGTGGAATTCCACTTTCCAGGATCCAACCTACTGAGGCTCTGAATTCTTAGAGCTTCAACAGCCTGACAGGTGGCCACTACAGCCATCGTACCTCAATGGGGGACCTTGGCTTTCATCTTTCGGACACAGTATCACTGAGTTCGCTCGCGTTTGCTGGTGTATAACTGGCCACGTGCCCATTGGAGCGTACTACCGTCGCTTCAAGATCAACAAGCCTCATGGTTGCACTTGCGGGGCTGCTTTGCAGTCTTGCCAGCATGTCCTCTGTCACTGTCACAATCGCTACTCCGTGCATTACCCCCACCTTCTTGGGGATATTGCATCTTTTATGAAGTACAACCCCACAGCGTTTGGCTTCAACCGGGACCCTTCAGGTGTCGGGTAATCGCTGCGGGCGGGGTTATTCCTCCTTTTGGGGGATTTAGGGTGAATTAACACCACGAACCTAAGGGTTCGGCGACCTGTGCCAGCTTCACTTTTTCGCGCTTGCAGCTGCTATCATAGCGGGTTGCGGCACTGCTAACTTTCTGCATCTGGTTTCAGGCAGGCGCTGCTCTGGCTTGTCGGCCTCAAGACACCCCGCCACCTCCCGGATGGTGCTTTTCTTATCTCATTTGCGCTGCGTGGCCTCCGAACAGCGATTGATGACTTTGGGGCATAGCGGAACCTTGATGGTTTCCTCCCCTTATCCCGATGCACCGTTTTTGTGTGGTGGGTTGCCCTCTGGGGAGTTTCGGCATTTGAGCCCAAAGGGTCTTGGTTGGGGGGGCGGTCGTCCTTTAGTGGTTAACTTAGTAACCAGGCTGCGTAGCGTACGTGTTTGTAGATAGCGAGCGGGCTGCCATCGAGCACCGCTATATAAATTGTTGATCAAAAAAAAAAAAAAAAAAAAAAAAAGCTATGCGGCCTGGGTACTAAGTTAACTACTTAAAGATGACCACCCCCCAACCAAGACCCTTCTGGTGTGTACATTGAAACTTCCTGGAGGGCAACCCACCTTGTGAAAATGGTGCATCGGGATAAGGGGAGGAAATCATTGAGGTTCTGCTACACCCCAAAGTCATTGATCGCTGTTTGGAGGCCACGCAGCACAAATGAGATAAGAAAAGCACCACCTGGGAGGTGGCAGAGTGTCTTGAGGCCAACAAGTCAGAGAAGCACCTGCCCGAAACCAGATGCAGAAAGTTAGCGGCGCTGCAACCCGCTATAATAGTGGGCCGCAAGCGCAAAGAAGTAGTTGCAGGTGCAGGTCTCTGAACCCTAAGGTTCGAGGGTGTTAATTCACCGATAAATCCCTCAAAAGGAGGAATAACCCTGCCCATAGCGATTATCCGACACCTGAGGGGTCCCAGTTGAAGCCAAACGCTGTAGGGTTGTACTTCATAAACAATGCAATATCCCTGAGGAAACAGGGATAATGTACAGAGTATCGATTGTGACAGTGAAAGAGGACATGCTGGCAGAACTGCAGAGCAACCCCGCAAGTGCAGCTGTGGGGCTCATTAATCTTGAAGCGACAGTAGTACGCTCCAATGGGCACGTGGCCAGTTATACACCAGCAAACACGAGCAAACTCAGTGATACTGTGTCCGAAGGTTGAAAGCCAAGGTCCCCCATTGAGGTACGATGGCTGAATCAGCTGCCCATCAGGCCGTTGAAGCTCTAAACAGTTGTAACTGATAGTCCTTGGACTTTAATTGACAAGTCAACAAAATTAAAGTTGCTTCAGACAATTACTGTAACTAATTTTGTACCTGCTAAAGGGAGTACTGCTTTGAAGCATAAAGCCAGTGAGAGTAATATTTCTAAGCCAAAGAAATCCAGACAAATTATTGAAGAAAATAGCAACTCACCTCAAGGATTTATCTGGGATAATCAAGATTATAGCTGTCCATATGATAGTTTATTTAGCATTCTCTATAATCTCTGGCTTGAAAATTCTGATAAATGGACTGTGACATTATCAAGCATCAATGACTATACAAAGCTACTTATAGAAGGCTTTCAAGATGTTGTTCATAGTAATTCTACTCTAGAAGAGGCCAGAGACAGAGTACGAGAAGAGTTGTATTTTGTAAAGCCAGATAAATTTCCAAAGGGTAGAAATAATGCAAGTGTAGCTGAACTTGCCTTTGAATTATTTAAGACTGATAGTGAAGATGCACAAGTTGAAATATTCTGTAATAATTGTGACTATACTAGACTCTTTTCTGATACTATTGGATATGCTGCCAATCTTGAAGGATATCAAGTCTCATCAACTCAATACTGGATTTCAGATATGAAAGAAAGTTGTCAAGAGACTTGTCCTGAGTGTAGTAAGACTTTGATATACCAGAAAACTTATACTAAGATACCAAAAATATTAGTTCTTGAGTATCCATTCTGTAATATTAGGACAAGTCATAAGATAAAAATCAAAGTTAATAGAAAGACACATGTACTAAAATTAAAGGGAATGGTTTAACATGGTGATAATCATTTTGTATCAAGAATTGTAGGCAATGATGGAACAATCTGGTTTAATGATGGCATGACTACTGGTAGACAATGTACAGAAGATGGGCACTTGACAACTATTACTGATACATCAGTTAGAACATATAATGATAAGAATTTTGTATTAGCAGTCTATGCTTAATTCAATAGCTATAAGGGGTGGTGGGTGGGCATAATTTCATAGAATATTTCTGTAACTAATTACTTGCTCTACAAAATTAATCTATATTATATATATTTATCAACAATTTATATAGCGGTGCTCAATGGCAGGCCCAATGGCAGGCCACTCGCTATCTACAAACATGCACGCTGCACGGCCTGGGTACTAAGTAAACTACTAAAAGACGACCACCCCCCCAACCAAGACCCTTCTGGTGTATATGTTGAAACTTCCCGGAGGGCAACCCACCTCATGAAAACGGTGCATTGGGACAAGGGGAGGAAACCATTGAGGTTCCGCTATGCCCAAAGTTGTTGATCGCTGTTCGGAGGCCATGCAGCGCGAATGAGATAAGAAAAGCACCACCTGGAAGGTGGCAGGGTGTCTTGAGGCCGACCAGCCAGAGATGCGCCTGCCCAAAACCAGACGCAGAGAGTTAGCAGCGCTGCAACCCACTATATTAGCAGGCCGCAAGCATGAATGAGTGAAGCTGGCATAGGTCTTTGAACCCTAGAGCTCAGTGGTGTCAATTCACCATAAATCCTCCAAAAGGAGGAACAACCCCACCCGCAGCGATTATCTGACACCCGAGGGGTCTCGGTTGAAGCCAAATGCCATAGGGTTGTACTTCAGAAACGATGCAATATCCCCAAGAAAACCAGTACTTTGTGGTCCCCTACAGAGTGCTATAGAACTCCACTGGAGTCCAGTGGAGTTGGCATATTATCCAGTGGAGTCCAGTGGAGTCCAGTGGAATTATACTGGAGTTCAGTGGACTCCAGTGGACTCCAGTAAGAAGGTATAGTGGAGTTCAGTGGAGTCCAGTAAGAAAGTATACTGGACTCTACTGGAGTGTGATACTGGAGTCTTACTGGAGTCTTACTGGACTCCAGTATATGTATCAAAATAGACTACCTATTACACATCAGAATAGATAATAGTCTGTTGGGCAATTGCCCAAGTCCAGTATATAGAGGTGTAATAAGATGCTTAATAATCATTCTTTTTAGGAAAAAGCATCAGAATTTGTAGAGCATCTTCAATTGACCCTGAATCAAGTTATTTGATGTCATCAGCTGCTCTGCTTGGCAAGAAAAATGCAAATACTGAAACAGTAGATTACTTTTGCAAATTTTGGCATTATTTGGCTTATATCTTATCATTAATAGAGCCAAATACCATCACTCAAGTGGATTCAGGGTCACCTGTTATTGCAATTATCTTCTCCTAAAAAGGAAATTTCTCACAGTCATGTGACCTGCATGTTTCATATTGTTAGCACCCCTAGTCCCTGTGTAGATAGAGCACATTTTGGCAAAATCCAATTTGTCACATGTGACTCTGATATTGATGTCATCAGCAAACTTGATGGCTTTATTACTTTTCATCAATGCCAAGTCTGGGCCTAGCAATTATATATTTATTAATTGTTTCTATTTGAGGCCATAACATCAACATTTCAGAAGCTGACCCTGAAGGAATAGGCAAATAAAAAGTCACATGACTGGCTATCAACCTTGGCATCAGTCACATTTCTCTTCTATGACTATGACATCTCTCTGCATTGTTCACTGGACTCCACTGGAGTTCTATAGGAGTCCAGTGGAAGATGGACACTCCACTCCAGTAGACTTTGGGTGGTGACTCCAGTGGACTCCAGTGAACTCCACTGGAGTCCAGTAGGCACTTTTGGCTGGTGTTCCTGCTAATAGATTTCTACCAGACTCCACTGGAGTCCACTGGAGTCCTATAGGGATACATGGGGGAGTGTAAAGACCTCAAGAAAACAGGGATAATGTACAGAATATTGATCACACATCAGGAAAATGACTTTTGCTCTCACATCACCTGAGCGCATTCCCACATTCCCAAAGGAGCAAAGCTGCCTTGCTGTGATCTGGGAGCACCTCAGAGATCAGTGGTAATTTTGAATTCTCCTGAGCACTCTGGGGAGGCTCTGAGGAAGCTCTGGAAAGGTCCAACATCCTCCTGCTAGATATATCTCAGAAATATGAATTACCAACTACTATAGAGCTATTACATGTCTAGGATCATATTTTTATTACTACTGACCGCTTTTTCAAGAGTAAGAATAAGATATCTCAGGAACTGCTCACTTGATTGCCCTGAAATTCTGCACGCAACTACACATATTATACGTGTACTAAATTCTAAATTTTGGCACCTTCAGATTGCAAACTCATGGAGATATAATGGTTGTGCATTTTTAAAAGCCTGCATCTGAATATCTCAACAAATAATAATGGTGAGACTCTGTAAGCCAAGATTCATTAACAAGGACACTATAGGTACATGCCTGCCAAATTTCAGCACAGTAGCTTCAGCAGTTGTTGTGATATTGAACCTACACAATGAATGAGCACACTGTTTTCAAGCTCTAAGTCATTTCAAACTCAGACAGGCTAGACACTCATACAAGAGGTGGAAGTTAAATACCTCAGGAATTGCTACAGCTACAGCCTTGAAAATTTACAGGAAACTAGATTACATATTGTTGATACTGTCTGTAAAGCGAGATGTCATTGTGACAAGTATTGACTGAGATATGGAGATGCGGGTTTTTTGAAAAGCGCACAGGTCATTTCTCCTTTGATATTGGCCCCAAAATTCTGAAACTCCACAGAATTGTTCCTTTATATTATGAGAAAGGTGTGTAAATTTTCAGAGGCATAGCTACAGCGGTTGTTGAAATATTGAGCTTG